CAAGAAATCTGATATCCCTTGGCACCTTAGATGAATCAGGATGCTGTTATAAAGCAGAAAACAGATGTTTGAACATATATAGGAATAACAACCTGATACTGAAATGAGAGAAAAGAAATGGGCTTTACATACTCTGTGGGATCCATTCCCAAAACTGTTTTAATTCTGTGTTTATTTCTACTAACCTGTCCAATACAAAGAAGTGGCACCTTAGATTAGGTCACATGAGTCAAAGAGGTATGGACATCCTGAAGCATAAAGGGCAGTTTGGTAAGGATAAGATTACATCTCTTGAATTCTGTGAGAATTGCATTTTAGGCAAACAGCGTAGGAACAGTTTCACTAAGGGGACACACCTAGCCACTAGCCAACTAGAACACATACACTCTGACCTATGGGGACCTGGGAAAGTGAAATCTTATGGGGGGAATAACTACTTTATGTCTCTAGTGGATGATTACAGCCGCAAGGTGTGGGTGTACCTTCTGAAATCCAAAGATCAGGCCCTAGCTAGGTTTAAGGACTGGAAAACCCTAGTAAAGAACCAAATGGGCAAAAGGGTGAAGGTTCTTAGAACAGATAATGGGTTGGAATTCTGCAACCAAGAATTTGACAAGGTTTGCAGTGATCAAGGGGTCTTGAGACATAAGACAATAACCTACACCCCACAACAGAATGGAGTGGCAGAACAAATGAATAGAACATTCCTTGATAAAGTTAGGTGCCTATTAGTAACCTCCAAACTCCCCACCTCTTTTTTGGGAGAAGCCCTTACCACAACAGCATACCTGGTAAATAGGAGTCCATCTACTGCAATAAACCTAAAGAGTCTTGAAGAAATGTGGACTAGTAGAAGCCTAGCTCTAAGCCACCTAAGTGTCTTTGGTTATGCAGTCTATGCACACACCACAGGAGGAAAACTGGAACCAAGATCAACTAAATGCATTTTTTTAGTGTATCAAGAAAGGACCAAGGGTTATAGAGTTTGGGATAGAGAATCTCCAGGAATTAGAATTATTGTGAGCAGAGATGTGATATTCAATGAGGGAGTCTTTCCCCGTAAGGAAACTAGAACAAGTGCAGATCCTACTTCAAGCTCAGAAGATGCCTTTAGTCATCCTGAAGTTACATCAATTGAGGTGGAGCCTCCTGCTCATACCCAACCACCTCAAGGAACTGAAACCATCCAAGAAATTGAAGCTATTACTGAACCTGGAGGAGAAACTGGAAAATCTGATCCAGAACATAAGGATGAGATAGAAACAGTAGATGACACTGAAACTCAACCTGAAAACTTACAAGACTACCAGCTTGCAAGAGACAGAACCAGAAGACAGGTAAGGGCACCCACAAGGTATTCATATGCTAATCTAATATATACTGCTCTTCTTGCAGGTACCGAAGTACAAAGTTCAGAGCCTAAAACCTATGAGGAAGCCATGCTGTCAAGGGAAAAGAATCACTGGAAGGCTGCCATGGAAGCAGAAATGAAGTCCTTGGAGGTGAACATAACCTGGAAATTTGTACCAAAGCCAAAGGATCAAAAATTAGTACAATGCAAGTGGCTGTTCAAATTAAAGGAAGGTATCACTGCAAAGGATCCCCTCAGGTACAAGGCTAGATTAGTAGCCAAGGGTTTTACCTAAAGGGAGGGAATAGACTTCAATGAAGTCTTTTCCTCGATAGTTAAGTACAAAACCATAAGGCTAATGCTGTCCATAGTAGCCCACCAGGATTTAGAGCTTGAACAATTAGATGCCACAACTGCATTCTTACATGGAGATCTTGAAGAAGAGATCTGCATGAGCCAACCATTAGGATTCATAGATCAAAAGGCCCCCAACCATGTTTGTTTACTGCTGAAATCCCTATATGGCCTAAAACAATCCCCTAGGCAATGGTATAAGAGATTTGACACCTTTATTGTAGGTATAGGGTTCACTAAAAGCAAGTATGACAACTGTTTCTACTTTGCTGTTGTGAATGACATACCAATTTACTTACTGTTGTACATAGATGACATGTTACTGATAAGCAAATCAAAGCCTTTAATTTGTGAGCTAAAGGATAAACTCAATGCTGAATTTGAAATGAAAGACCTAGGGGATGCTAGGAAGATCTTAGGCATGCAAATTGATAGGAATTAGAGCAAATGTAAACTGAGAATACACCGGTGTTCATACCTGCATAAGTTAGTAGAAAAGTTTGGAATGACAGGGACTAAAACTGTTTCAATGCCTTTAGCTAGTCATTTTACATTAAGTAAGGCCCAATGCCCTAATACTGATGCTGAGTTAATTAAAATGGAGTCCATACCCTATGCAAATGTAATTGGGTCCTTGATGTATGTTATGATTAGTACTAGGCCTGATTTATCATTTGTAATATCATTTCTGAGTAGATACATGTCCAATCCTGGTATGGAACACTGGACAGCCCTAAAATAGGTGCTTAAATATGTTAATGGCTCATTGAATGTTGGATTGGAATGTTGTAAAAGGACTACCTCACTTGAGTTGGCTGGTTTTGTAGATTCAGATTTTTCAGGTGATAGGGTCATTAGGAAGTCAACTACAACATATTACTTCACCTTGGGTGGTAATTGCATAAGCTGGAAGTCACAGTTACAGCCTATAGTTGCACTGTCATCAATCGAAGCTGAATATGTGGCTGTAGTTGATGTATTTAAGGAGGCAATTTGGCTTAAAGGGATCTTGAGTGAAGCAAATCTGTCTGAGCAGAAGCCAACCATATTTTCAGACAGTCAAAGTGCAATACACTTGAGTAAAAATCTGGTGTATCATGAGCGGACCAAACACATAGATGTCCGCTACCACTTTGTGAGGGATCTGGTCACCAGGGAAGAGATAGTTCTCAATAAAGTTCCTACTGAGCACAACCCAGCAGACATGGGGACGAAGATTGTTACACTTGCTAAGTTCAAGCATTGCTTGAACCTGCTGACCATTAAGTAAGCAAGGGTAACAAAAAAGCCATGAAGGATTCACCTAAGGCAAACTGCACTGCTACAGAAGGTTTCAATCCATCAAGGTGGAGATTGTTGGTGTGATGGCTTGAAACGCTGTCGTGTTATAGCTTAAATGAGACGACATCGTTTTGAGCAGAATTGAAGAAGCAATCCTGAGTGTTGATGAAGAGAAGATCCAAAGGCTGAAATTAGTCCTTCAGTCAACCATAACAAAGCAGAACTTATTTTGGCAGATTGTAACACAGTAATTTGTGTGAACTCTCTCTTCTTCATTGACACAAAATTGAGTCTGTTAGGGTTTACGATTTTGGGTGTTTTGAATCTCATAACTTGGTGATTGAGTGACTGTGTCAGGTCATTCTGGGTGTATTTGTATACGCAATCAGTAGGGATTGGAAGTGTAGAATCTCTAGGGTGAGTTATAGGTTGGAGGTGTAATCTGTAATCTTGACGGTGGTTTTAGTGCAGCAAGCTTGTGTGTTTCCCGAGCTCAACGTGGACGTAGCTTGCTCAAATTGAGCAAGTGAACCACGGTAAAATTCGTGGTTGTTCTTGTGCGTTTTTGGTTGTGATTCTTGATTGTTGTTTGTGGTTGGTTGATCTTTGTGTGTGTGGTTATAACATCAATAAAATATTATCCTTTGTTTTCAAAATTAGATTTCAGAAAATTAATATTAATCTCCAATAGTCGGTGTTGATTGTGCCATAATCACATACATGGATGATGGACCGGAGTTCAGTTATATAAAAAAAACGTAATGGAGGAGGAAAAGTGCATGTGAAGAAATGTTGGGTTGGGTTGGGTTGAATGATCAGGCCGATTGATCATGATATGGAAGAACCAAAAGCATCAACCGTGGGGAAGATCAGGATGAGGATTAAGAAAATGATGCAGCTTGTCAACCGCAAGGAAGGCAGTCTCACCTGCCACTCTTACCGCTTTGCCCGTTCCTTTTCCCGCTAACAAGGGGCATTAAGAAGCAGAGAAAGCAAAATCTAATTTTGAAGAGACGTTATAGAAATAATACTACAATTACTTAACCACGAAATATATATACATATACTCTAAATTTTCATAGGAATAACTCGGCCAGGCTTCCATTTTTTATTGTTTAAACTTATATAAACATTAAATCCTGTAAGTCATGTGCCTTAATTTATTTATTTTATTCTTTTACAAACTTTGCTCTACTGAATAGTCATTTCAAGTTGATGTATTAATTTGTTTGCTCAAGTTCTGCGTGGTTTTCAGGCACTATTCCTGATGAGACAAACTATAAAGACGATAGTTGGTGGACGCAGTAAATCAACTGCAATGGATGGCTAGAGCCGCCACATTCTCCTGCAAGTACTGCACCTGAAAGAGGGTAACTTAATTAAGCCCTGTTTTATAAGCTTCTTAATTTTCTTTTCTACTTTCAAAATGTGATCCTGAATTTGTTATAGGAGATCAGTTTATAAATTAATTGACTTGTTCATTGTAAAATGCCATTTACTCAGAATGATTATTAATTAATTTTGGGTTGCATTTGTTTACCATCAATCATTGCTATCAAAAGCTTCAATAGTTATATACAAAACAAGCAAATTTATCCTTTCTTTGAAAATGAAAGAAATTTTTTTAAGTATTAACAAATTTTATATATATATAATTAACCAGTCTATTTATGTAAGTGGGCTGTGGTCTGCCCAACACCTTTGGGCGATAAGTCAATGAAATTAGGCCACTTTTAAACCCAAATTAATATTATAATGTAATTATTTTAAGCAAGCCTTAGGAGACCTAAGGCAGTATTATATCAAATAGTGGAATGATAAATACATAAACTGCTCACAAGGGAATGAAAAAATAATAATAAGATGTGCCTAAACCTTGAAATGATCATCTCACATCACACGGTAGAAAAGTAAATGACTGCTATACTATAAGTGATGAATTTAATACCTCATACAAGTTTATTCACCAAGGGAAGACCTTGTGTGGCTGCTATTGCCAGAGTGACATCCTGAATTATTCATTTGGGGTTGTGGGAATGCTTGGTCTATAAGTGGAAAAGAAAATTTCAACCAAGAGCGGAAATTGCAAAATGGCAAATAAGGTCACTGGGAAGCACCCGAGTAGCAAAATTGGAACGATAGTCCAATTCCATGAATGAAAGAGAAATGTGTAAAGGGTTGCCCCAAATGCTGCCATCATACTTGCAATAGAAAAGAATAGCGCGATAAGGCCGATTATTAACTTCCTTGGCAATGACACCAAAAAATCGTCTTCCGAGTAACGTGAAGTGAGGATTGCTAAGAACATAAGCACTGAAGCTGTGGAAGAAAAGAGTGCAAGCACATCTGATATGACAAAGACGATGAAAGCTATGTCATGCAAGAAATTGGGTATCCCATCATTGTTGTTGTCGCCTGGTACGGCGAAAGCTGCTGTAAAAACTATAGTTATTATCAATGCGGCTACAACACTGTATGACGCAGCAGTTCCCTTCATCCATTTTTCACCTTGTTCAACCAATTCCTTGTGCTCTTCAGTAAAGACTTCTCTGAGAGTTTTATTATTCTTATTTCGTTGCTCTTGAAGGGATGGATGGACATAACTTTCCACAGCCTGAAGATAAAACCTAAGCTAGCGTAAGCATGGGTAATAATAAATTTGATTCTCAAACAAAAAATCTCTAATATTATAGAAGAACTAAATGCTATAAAAAAAATTATTAATGAGGCCAGAAAAAATAAAGGAAACTTTAGAATTAGAATAAAAATCATATGTAGGCCAGATTTCTAAATCTCTTGCACATTCAATTATAAATTTATATTCCTATATGAAAATGAAAGTACCACATTTTAAATTTTTGGCAGATCTGCAGTTTGATGTAAGATCAAGGCATCTAGAGGCAAGAATAAAATTCCAATAAAATAATCATTTGAAGTAATAATTAAGCAATAATGCTACGGACACTGAAGATTTACACCAAATTTTTACACCAACCGACGTGTCATCTGAGTCAGACGTAGCCATGTAGCACACTAACAAGTATTCCACGAATAAAAGGTCATCCATCAAATATGGACGAGCGTCCATAATTATTGGACAACCGTTAATTTTAAATGGACTCCTGTCTATAAGAAAATATGGGAGTCCATTTAAAATGAACGATCGTCCAATAATTATGAACGCCTTTCCATATTTGATGGACGGCTGTTCATTCGCGGAATACTCGTTAGTGAGCTACGTGGTTGCGTCTGACTCAGATGACACGTCTATCAGTGCAAAAATTCGGTGTAAACCTTCGGTGTCCATAGCATTACTGATAATTAAGATGATAAAATAAGTTGTATAATTTTTTTTTTTTTTTTAAGGATTATATATTCACCTTGAACCATTGTAGTTCTCTCTGCATTTGCAATGCTGCACCGGAGACCTGACTTGAAGCTGCCAACTGTCCAGCTAAATGCAACAGGTTGTCAGTTTTTCTACCTTTGCTGACCCCTTTCCAGGTATGTAGATACACATTCCTTTCTTTTACAATTTTGAAAATCCTTTCTTGGCGATGTAAAATTGCCATATGAAGTAGACCGTGATCATTATCTTTGTAGCGGTAGGTAAAAGCATAGAAATCAACATTCAAAATTTCATTGACAATCTCGCAAATCCCAAGTTTTGCAGCTTCAAGAAATGGAGAAAAGAAAGTTTCAAGGGCTTCTGTAGTATTCCACGTAATGTCATTACATGACACAAGATTCTAACAATTTTAAGGGTTCGTACATGTGTTAACTTGATATCGCGCATGTTTTTGATGTCTGGGACTGCAATTAAACAACTCAAGTCAATGAAACAAGAGAAAGAATTCCTTCAACATACTCCATTTAAGTAAGAGAATTGTTTAATGCAAATTACCTAGCAGCATAAGGACATGCCAGATCATTTGGCGCAAAGCATTTGTGTTACAACAAATAATTACTATTATAAATGGTTTTGGCGCAAAGCATCTGTGTTACAACACCTGATCTGTATTAACATGAAACCTAATCTGCACTTCACAACATGACCAACATCAATGAATTTGCACCATCAACAGCCTGGATAACCATCAACACAACTGTACATTATCAACGGCACATCATCAACTAATTTCATCACCTAATCTGCACTTCACAACATGACCAACAACAAGGAATTTGCACCACCACCAACCTGCACAGCATCAATCTACACCTACACACCACCAACTAATTTTCATCAGCTAATTTGTACTTCACAACATCAAACTTGCACATTAATTAAACTGCACCAACATCAAACCTACATATTAGCTAAAACTACATTTCACAATATTCAACACTAATTTGTAACTCCCTTAAACTCCAGCAACTTCCATGACTTGATTCATCTCTTTTTCACTTATGAGGGGTAGGAAAAATTACCCATTACCGGAACCGAACATGGTAACCGAACCAAACCGATTTTGGATACTCAAAAATCCAGGCCGGGATTGGGTAGTACATTAGGAGATACCCGAATTTTCAGTTTGGGTACCGAGTCAATTTTAAAATAAATTTTGTACCCGAATTATACAAGGTTTAAATAAAAAAAGTTAAAAAAACCTAAAATCTAAAACTCTGAAACACGATTTCAATTACGTAAAACGCTAGTTTTCCAGTTCTCATCCTCTTCTTCTTGAATCTTAACTTCTCCAAATCGACTTAACCTAACCCACCACTGCCCTTTTCTTCCCTGAGCCTCATCCATCAAAACCCCTCAACCCTTGTCCTCGCCAACGTCGTCTTTCGTCGGAAATCGCTTGATTTGTGGATCACGCGAACCCGCATCCCTCATCAAATTTTGACCAACTCCAACCACCAAAATCTGACCTTTAACTACCAAAAGACTCCCCAACCTTTCTTCTCCATAACCCCCATCTGATTGGCCTCAGATTTTTCATTGTTCATCGGTGGTTTCCTCTAGGTTTATTTTATGCAACTTTGTAGTTGGATTTGAATGGAGCACTTGTGGAGTTGATTGGGGGAAATTGTTTGTGTGTTGTTGGAGTTTGAGTTGTTTTTCTTTGTTTTGGTGGGTTTTTCAGGTTGTTTCCTGTCGCCGGTGACCTGTCCTTCCTGAGTTTCGCTTCATGCCCACTAGATGTTTGAAGAAAGGCCGTAGTTGTTGTGTCATACTTGTAGTGTTGATTTGATGGCAATTTGAAGTAAAAAATTCAGTCAAAAGATCAGATACCTGGTAACCAAACCGAAAATTAAAATCGGTTCGATTATCGTGTGTACTCATAGGGGTACCCGAATATTCGGGTCGGGTCAGAAAATTGCAAAACCAATTTGGCTACCCAATTTTGCCCACCCCTATTTATGATAGTCATTTCTTTCTCAACTCAGTTAATTGAGTAGTTAACAATGCTTTAGTTAAAATGTCAACTATCTGCAGTTTAGAAGACACATATTGAATGACAACTTTTTTAGCTAATACTTGCTCCCTTATGTAGTGATCATCAATTTCTATGTGCTTTGTTCTGGAGTGAAAAACTGGATTGGCTGCAAGAGCATTGCACTAACATTGTCACATCAAATAACAGGAGTGGTGTTAATGGTCAGTCCCAATTCAGAGAACGGACTCTATAACCATGCAATTTTTGAGACAATTTGGGTCAAAGCTCAATACTCAGCTTCAGTGAAAGAAAGTGCTACAACTTTCTGCTTTCTTGAACTCCACTTAATCAGGTTTGTCCCATATAAACACAATAGCCACTAGTTGATCTCTTATCTTCTATATTATTGCCCCAATCTTCATCAACATAATACTCTACATGTAAAGTTCCTTCATGCTTGAAATGCAACCCATAGTTTAGGGTGCCTTTAGCATATCTAAGAACCCTCTTGCAGGCTTGCCATTGGAGCTAGTAGAAGCTTGCAAGAACTGACTTAGCTTGTTGACAGGAAAGCTAAGATATGGTCTTGTTAGAGTAAGGTATTTTAGTGCCCCTATAATGCTTCTATACAAGCTGAAATTATTAAAAGCAGCACTATCAATTGAAAATAATTCGGTACCCACAACCATGTGAGTAGAGCAAGAATGAGCCTCCAACATCTTTTTCTTGGCAAGCAAATCAGAGGCATATTTGGTTTGCTTCAAATGAATACCATCAAAAGTTCTAATTGCATCTAAACCAAGAAAATGTTGAAGTGAGCTAAGTGTTTTGAGAGCAAACTCATCATTTAGATCCTACATTAGTTAAGCAATATAAGCACAGTTGGAACCTATGATGAGGATGTCATCCATATAAACAATTACATAGATTAGTGAGGAATCTTGTTTCAAAATCAACAAACTGGAATCTAACACGAAATTATGTAATCCTTTGTTATAAAGTGATGTTTTCAGCCTATCAAACCAGGCTCTTGGAGCTTGGTTAAGCCCATACAGTTCCTTGTTCAGCTTGCAAACATATGATGGCTTAGTCGAATCTTCAAATCGTGTTGGTTTCTTCATATAAACCACTTCACTCTATGTGTCATTCAAGAAGGCATTATTAACATCAACTTGCTGGATATTCCATCCATTTGTAACAGCTAGGGTGAGAATTATCCTAATGGTGGAAGACTTTATTACAGGACTAAGGGTTTCAAAGTAACTTAGACCAGGTGTTTGCTGAAAACCTTTGGCTACTAACCTAACCTTGTACTTTTGTAATGAACCATTAGCATGAAACTTGGTTATGAAAACCCATTTATTATTCCCCACAACATTCATATCAAGAGTCAAAGGAATAAGTGTCTAGGTATTAGTTTTAACCATGGTATCAAATTCATTCTACATTGTAGCCTTCCACTCAGAATTAGCAAGGGCTTCAAATGCTGAGAAGTGCCATTATAGTCAAAGTTGAACCTATGGTAACACTAGACTGCTGAATGCCCAGCTTTGTTACACACTTGACAGACAAGTTTGTTCTTGCCATTACCTCAACCTCTACCTCTATAATAGGCTATGAAACCAAGATGTCTAGGATTGAACATGTTAGCACCATAAGTAGGACAAGGTTGACCAGTTGGACCAGAAGAATGATTTTGAGAAACTAGCACTACATAATGTTGCTAGTAATGTGGATTTCCAAGAAAGACTAATGAAGGAACGAAATTGTTAAAGAAACTAGAGGCTTTCAAACCATTCTAATTAGAACTATCACTATTAGCTTGATCATCAAGATTATTAGTTGATGCTATGTTTGCAGAGCTATTGTAAAGATCGATGGAATTGAACTTTTCAAGCTTGATTTCATATTTTTGCAATAAAAATTGCTCCTCTTGTAATGTGATAGAATCAACTTTTGATTCAAGTCTAGATGTAAGATTCACAACAACGGCATCATATTCAGGTTCTAAGCCATCTAATATATATTGCAGCAAATCCTCATCAGACACAATCAGACCACTAGCTAAAAAACTTTCACAAATTCTTTCATTTCCTTGATGCACTCACCAATACTAAGATTACATTTATGAGTAGTTTGAAAAAGATTCTTAAGATGTAAAGCTGTAGCCTTAGAATCTGTAACAAACTCATTCTCTAAAGCAAACCAACTTTCAGTTGAATAATGATATTTTGACACATTACCAAACATGCTCTCAAATATGAAGGCCAGAAACCAGCTAATAATAAACTTATCAATTCGTTTCCACATGACATAATTAGGTTTTATTTTGTCACTTACAGAATCATTGCTAGCCCTAAGTTCTCCTCGAATTTGACCTGGCTCATTGCCAATTTCAGAATCAGACCCTATGAAAGGAGGAGGACACGGAATTTTACCAAGAAGATGATCTTCGAGCTCATGTGATCCAATGGCAAACAAAACTTGAGAGCTCTAGAATCTGTAATTGTTCTGTGTAAGCTTGGTATTGATAACTTGCAAGCTTGAAGCTAGTGCCAAAGTGGAGCGATTACAAGATTCTTAATATATCTTCGATGATGTTAGGCCTTTGAGAGGAACCAAAAGTCTTGGCCATTAACGTAAGTTGTGGCTCTGATACCATGTGACTGTGAAGAAGAAAGAGAGAATTTTCTAGAAGAAAAGCTACTGTAATTTGTGTGTTTTTTTATTTTCATTGAATGAATTACAAAGAGGGAAGAAAAATATGTTATAAGCTTCTTACTTAGCTTGAAATGACGGCGTATTAACAGACTTTAATCTACTCCTTTATTAATGCTAAACTTGCAGTTTAACCCTTTTGACTTCTAATGGTCAATATTTTGTTCATTCGCTATGTGTTTGAGCTTTTGAGGCATGTTTATATCTGTCAATGGTTATAAATATTTTTTAGTGTCTTTTTCAACTTTTACATTATATAATAAAATATATTTACATTTAAACCCTTTATAAAGTTAAATTAAATGATCTTATACCATTAAGTGTCATATTTTTGTCCTTTAATAAATTTTTGTACCTTTTTAATTGTTTTTATAAATATGTTTCCTACTTTGATTTTCTCCCTTTATTTTATGACATTTCTACTATGTAACTTGTCTATACCTATATGGTCAGGATATAATCTTTGATTACATTCCACGTTGCTAATTAATTACAAATTAAATGACTAAAATAAACATCTATATCAAGTAATAATCATAAATTTTTTTGTGAGGTAAGACTAATTTTAATTTATATATGTCCCTTGTCATTTCTTTCTTTCTTATTTAATGAAAATAATAACAATAATAATAACAGTAATAACAAGTTGTAATGTGATAATTTAACGTTTTCTAACCATATTGCAAACAAGAAAATTACATTTGCACTTACCATAGTGACCGGAACTGATGAGATCTTTAATCAATTTAACACCTTTATCATCATCCAAACGTACTTTTGTTGTTGACAGAAGAAATTGAATTGTTCCCTTGTGGCCATATTCTGCTGCTGCATGAATTGGAAGATAACCATGCCTATGTTTGGAAATTCTGTGTGCCTAAGGACATAAGCTTTTGCAGCCTTTCTATTGCCATAAATAGCAGCCTGGAATATAACGGATATGCCATCTTCTCCGCTCAAATACTGATCTTGAATGCAAGCTCCTTTATAAGCCAAGTGGGGGCACCTGATAGATTAATTATGTGAAACATGGTATCCCCATATTCTGAAACATTTTTCAGTCAAGGCCCCAGGAGTCCTATCTACCAAATCTTGTGAAAGTCTCCAATTACGCTCATGTACAGCCTGATTAGTGGCCTGAACCGAGCATTATCAACTGTTATCACCTCAGTCCTTTTGTTCTCTGTCAATTCCAAATAATGTAGATGTGAAAATGTATGTAAAGGACTTTAAAATTTATTATGAAATTTCAATTTTTATCTGAGTCACATACGGACATTCATTTCCCTTTCAATACTGATTTATGACTCTTTTGACTTTTCAACTTTTTGGTTTTTTTCAGTAAGATCAATTTGACCTTCCAAATTACGTACACACCAGAAAAAAATTAGGAGGTATAAGTACTATCTACATAGTCTCTAACATACCTTCACTTTCAAGTGTTGATTCATCACTCGATTCATCACTCTTTTGACTTTCCGAATTTTTGGTTTTTACATCGGGATCATAAGCTTGCTTCGTTCCACTAGTGGTTGCCTCTCCCTTTTTACTAATTGAGTTATTGGATGGTTGAACACTATCAGCTCCTGTACACTTTCCGTTTACCATTAATTCCAAATTATGTACACATAAGAAAAAATATGATGTAGAAGTACTATCTATATAGTTTCTGACTTACCTTTCCATTTCAATACTATTTCAGCACTCTTGTGACTTTTTCCGTTCACTATTAATTTCAAATATATTATGTACACATGATAATAAGTATGAGGTAGAAGTACTATGAATCTATGTATCTATCGATATATAATATTAGTTATTGAAAGATATGATCTATTAATACTATGATCT